AGTTACAATGCAAAGTAAATCTTTTTATACATCTGGTTTCAAGCCTTTGAATTTTAGGCACCTAGATAGGTGCCAAGTTTTCATTTTGTTAAATAAGGACTTTTAAAAAATAAATAGGTGAAGGGGGGGAATCTACCGTCTATAATCTACGATGACAATAATTTCGTGAAAGAAAGAACAACAAAACATCGGAAAACTATAATGTAAAAATAAAAGGCAGGCCTTTAAACTGAACAAATGTTTCTTTCTTCTTAAAAATGTCATGATTTTGCCCTCATCTCTGTCATTCCATGAAAACAGGTAAACAGTTTATCAAGATAGTTGCTAGCCTGGAGTTTGGCAACGGCTGCGATAAAGCAGTCCTTATTATCCCAGAAGGCCATGTGACCCGGAGCAGCTCGACCACCCAGCCGCAGTCGGGTGAGCATGGCCAGCCAACGAGGTAACACAAGTGAAGCACAGTCAGATCCAGCTGTGCTCTTGACACGCAGTTTTGGATTAAACGAAGACCCAAATATGATCGACAAAAACTCCTGAGCAAAGATAGAACAATTAACTATTTCTGTGATAAACTTCTCTTCAAGTGCTATCAAATGTAAGCAGATGAGGCAGGTGTCTCACACGTACCATAAAATATACACAGGGCGTATTAAAATTAAAATGTGCTGTATCTGGAATACGTCTGAATCTGAAATGCTAAGTAAAGCATGCATGTATTCACTGTAAGGCCGATAGCCTTGCTAAGAGCCGCATGAACAGCACCCACCCCTCTCTATGCCTGATAACAGCTTATCAGACAGAACACATTACTCAGCTTCTGGCTCCTCCACGCCGGCTCCCCTCGCCCACTTCTGCATTCTGCCCCCAGGCCTATATTCAGCAGTGGACTATGCACGCTCAGCACCAAGCTATGCATTTGAACCTCAGCACTAAACTATACATCTGAACTCGTGAAAATGGAAGAAATCCCGCCAAGCCTTACCCACTCCATGCATCCTAGGCCAGCCCCCCTCTAAGCCCCATAAAACCCCCTGCCCTGAGAAGTCAAGTGCGACTTCTCTGGCCCCCCTTTCCTTAGGACCACAGAACCTTGCCCGGGAGATAAATAAATTGGCATCTGATTGTTCTTATACTGGCCTCAGTTTTCCTCATTTTAAACTCGGCAGTAACCATTACATTCACTAGATACTAAAGCTGCCCGGTGGAGAAAATCCCCAGCCAGGGGAAAGGAGGCCAGGATCTGGCCCTGACTTTGCCACTAAGTGGTTCTTAAGCCTGGGGCAAGTTGTTTAATTTTTCTGTGCTCAGTTTTCTCAGACATAAATAAGGGAGTTAGATTAAAATTATCTCTTGGGGCCAGTCCTGCTTGAAAATTCTTAATGTAATACATAATAGTGTGTTTCCTCTCTCTGAGAATTTGTGAGGCCTCTGGGAATGAGAAGAATGGTGCATCAGCTCAAAAGCTGACCTTGGGCTATCCCTAAAGCACAGGGACCCTCACTTTGGGATATTCAAAAGCGCAACACCCACAACGCTGAACCAAAGAGCCAGAGGCACAACCCAATTAGCTCATAAATTAATATTTGGGTAAACAAATGAAAGTAAAACTTCTCCAGCTGCCCCCAGCTCCCTGGTTGCTCCTGTCCCTGGAGTTAACACAGATACTTGCCATTGGAGATAAAAACCTTCCCCTTTTGGAGGATTGCCTCTGCGGCAGGCATGTTACATGCATTAGGAGTAACTCTGTCTTTAGTTTTCTGAAGAAATGCCAAACTGTTTCCCAAAGTGGCCACATCATCTTATATTTTCACCAGAAATGCGTAAGGTTCCATTTCTCCATATCCATGCCAACTATTGTTATTATCTGTCATTTTGATAGTAGTAATTCTAGCTGTAAAGAGGTTTTTCATTCAAGCTTTGATTTGCATTTTCCTAATAACTAATAATGTCGAGCATCTTTCCACGTGCCAATTGGCCATTTGTACATTTCTTTGGAGAAAGTATTCAAATCTTTGCCCATTTTTAAATTGAGATATTTGTCTTTTTGTTGTTGAGCTGTACTTTTTTTCTTTTTTTTTTTTTTTTTTTGGGGGGACAGTCTCACTCTGTCCCCAGGCTGTGGAGGGCAATGGCACAATCTCGGCTCACCGCAACCTCTGCCTCCCAGGTTCAAATGATTCTCCTGCCTCAGTCTCCCAAGTAGCTGGGATTACAGGCACACATCACCACATCCGGCTAATTTTTGTATTTTTAGTAGAGCTGAGGTTCCATCATGTTGGCCAGGCTGGTCTCAAACTCCTGACCTCAGGTGATCCACCTACCTCAGTGTCCCAAAGTGCTGGGATTTCAGGCATGAGCCACCACACCCAGCCCTTTTCATTTTCTTTGTAGTGGCCTTCAAAGAACAAAAGCTCTGAGTTTTGAAGTCCAATTTATCTATTTTTTTTCTTTACTTATTTTTGCCTCAGGCATCAAGTCTAATAAACCGTTGCCTAAACCAAGGTTATGAATATTTACACCTATGTTTTTTTCTAAGAGCTTTATAGTTTTACATGTCAACCCTTGATTCACCTTGAGTTAATTTTGTACATGGTGTGAGTGGGGCTCCAACTTTATTCTTTTCCATGTGGAGAATTCAGTCGTCCCAGCACCATTTATTTCCCCATTGAGTTGTCTTGTTAACCTTGTCAAAACCCAGTTAATAATAAATGTGTGGGTGTGTTTCTGAGATCTCAATTCTATTTCATTGATTTATATGTCTATCCTTATGACAGTACCACACTACACTATCTTGATTATGTAGCTACACAGTAAATTTTAAAATTGGAAAGTGTGAGTCCTCAAACTTTGTTGTGTTTTGTTTTTCAAGATCATTTTGACTATCCTGAGTGCCTTGTCATAGTTTTCCGTTTACAAGTCTTGCACTTTTTTTGTTAAATGTATTCAATGGACCTATCTTCAAGTTCACCAGTACTTCCTTCTACCAGTTCAAATGTGCTGTTGAGTTCTTTAGTGACTTTTTAGAATTGTAATTATTGCACTTTTACATTGCAGAATTTCTATTTGGTTCTTTTTATCATTTTTATCTCTTTATTACATTATTCATCTGGTGAGACATCAATCTCATACTTTCCTTTAATTCTTTATACATGATTTCTCCTAGTTCTTTAAACATATTTATAAAGCTGAGTTAATGTCTATGTCCTGTTAAGTTCAGCATGTGAGCTTCCTCAGGGACAGTTTCTGTTTACCTGGGATGTTTTTTTCTGTATAAGCCATATTTTCTTGTTTATTTGTATATCTTATAATTTTTGTTGAAAACTGAACATTTAAAAACATGAAGTCAGGCAAAGTGGCTTATGCCTGTAATCCCAGCACTTGGGAGGCTGAGGCAAGAGAAGTGCTTGAGCCCAGGAGTTCAAGAACAACCCAGACAACAAAGCAAGACCCTGACTCTACAAAAACTACAAAAATTAACCAGAGTAGTTAACTGATGGTTTTGGAAAGCTCCACCTGTTCTGTTTCCTTCAATGGGCTGCCAGTTTGCTGATCTTCACAGTTACCACCATCGCAAAGGCCCTCATGGAGGTGAGAGGGGACAAAGAAAGAGAGTGGGCTGCATTCCCGGGTGCAATCTTTTCTCTTTTTGTTTTTGTTTTTGTTTTTCTGGAGACAGAGTCTCACTTTATCACCCAGGCTGGAGTGTAATAGTACGATCTCGGCTCCCTGCAACCCCTGCCTCCTGGGTTCAAGCAATACTCATACCTCCCAGCCTCCCAAGTAGCTGGGATTACAGGTGCGCACCACCAGCCTTGGCTGATTGTTTGTATTTTTAGTAGAGATGAGTCTTCTCCATGTGGGCCAGGCTGGCCTCAAATTCCTGGCTTCGAGTGATCCATCCACCTCGGCCACTCAAAGTGCTGGAATTACAGGTGTGAGTCACAGCACCCAACCTCCAGTGTGTCATCTTTTCATATCCATTTGACAAAATGATGCCACCGGGGATGACTGCATACTGCATTTAGTCTGTGGGTGAAAAATATCTAACGAACCACACGGGGACTACGGCCACCTAAAATGCCATAATGCTCATGGTTCTTAATAATATTCAACAATTTTTCTTAAATAAATGCTCCCAGGCTGTTGCAAGCATTTGGTTAACTTCAAAAATTCTGAAAAACGTATTTTGACCATTTTTTTTTGGCCAGTGTTCTCATTGTTTTAATGAAGGAGTTGATTTTTCAGAGGTATTTATGCCACCATTCTGCACATGTTTCTCTTGAAGGAACACATAGTCAATATTATCTTGATTCTATTCTACATTTTTTTCTTTCTACTCATAAAGTGGCATATTTCTCTCCTCTTCTTCAGTAAGTCATAAAATTCAGAAGGGAGATGTGAAAAAGCGCATTTTCTTATTGTGCTACGGTGTTACGGAAGAATGTGTCAGGAACAAGATAGACCTAAGCCGTTTCTTTCCAAATAAATAAATACTACATAAGCAGATCTAAGTCCAGAAGCACAGTCTCTCGTTCTATGCTTGTCACTAAATGAATTGGGGATTGGAGACTTGTTTGATTCATCACTGCATTCCAGTGTGTAATCTTTTCTCTTTTTGTTTTTGTTTTCTGGAGACAGAATCTCACTTCATCACTCAGGCTGGAGTGTAATGATACGATCTCGGCTCACTGCAATCTCTGCCTCCTGGGTTCAAGCAATTCTCGTACCTCAGTCTCCCAAGTAGCTGGGATTACAGGTCTGCACCACCATGCCTGGCTGATATTTTGTATTTTTAGTAGATTTGTGGCTTCTCCATATTGGCCATGGGTGGAAGAGGGTATGTAATCCAGGATAAGAAGATTTTTGTCCCTGAGTTTCCTGCAGTGAGAAGAGTGCAGCTTCTGAACAAACCAGGTATGTGACGATTACACAACTCTGAATTTCACTTGCTGGTATTTACGTCTTCTCCATGGCTTTCTTCAAATAGCAGATACTGACCTGAGTCAAAGAAAACCATACTTAGGACATTCCCCTTCTTGAACAAAACTGCAATTTGCAAAATCATCAGTGACAGCTAATGGTGACTGGTGATTCGGTCCTGGTGATTTGGGCCAAATTCCAGAAGCCAATGTATATTCAGAAGGGGCAGGGAGAAGATGTGCATCTATCACTACACCTAGGAGCCCTGGCATATAAACAAGAGGTGAGTTGTCAGTTTTGCCCAATTCCAGACCTAGCACTTTCCAAACAAACTGAGACCATGGCAGTTCTCCACGCCATACTGCTGCGGCCACTGGGGCCGTTTCTGTGCCTCAGTCTCCAGCTTTCTTCTGCCATCTTCATGAGGTTCAGTAACAACTGCTTCACCTTCAATGACTACTACACCGTCACCCTAGGCATCAAGGCCAGTTCGTATATCTACGAGAGCAACACAGTCTATTCTGGTGAGTAGAAGCCATGCTCTCTGCTGTCCTTCGTTCCTGGGGAAATTGACTAGAATTTCAGAACATGATCCTCTGTTGCTACTGTCAGTTATACAAAACATGTGTCTTCTGAAGCAAATGGGAAGCAAGGGAAGGAAGAGAAAGAACGAGAATTAAGAGAGTGGATTGGGGGTACTACTTCTGCATGTCTCTTGTGAACTCAAGCCACAGGAGGGAGAAAGCCCCAACCCCCAGATTCACTGAGCCCCCTGCAAGAGCACACTTGGAGCAAATTCTCTGACTTAAGTAAAATGGGCATTTTAATCATTTTAAGGAATAATCATTGCATTCCCGTGTGTAATCTTTTCTTTTTGTTTTTCTTTTTCTTTTTCAATTGTACCTATTTTTTTATTGGATTTTAGGTTTTGGGGTATATGTGAAGAACATGCAAGATAGTTGCATAGGTACACACGTGGCAGTGTGATTTGCTGCCTTCCTCCCCTTCACCTGTATCTGGCATTTCTCCCCATGCTATCTCTCCCCAACTCCCCACCCCAGAGCTGTCCCTCCCCTATTCCCCCCAACAGACCCCAGTGTGTAGTGCTCCCCTCCCTGTGTCCATGTTTTCTCATTGTTCAACACCCGCCTATGAGTGAGAACATGCAGTATTTCATTTTCTGTTCTTGTGTCAGTTTGCTGAGAATAATGGTCTACAGGTTCATCCTTGTCCCTACAAAGGACATGAACTCATCGTTTTTTATGGCTGCATAATATTCCATGGTGTATATGTGCCACATTTTCCCTGTCCAGCCTAGCATCGATGGGCATTTTGGTTGCTTCCAGGTCTTTGCTATTATAAACACTGCTGCAATGAACATTTGTGTGCATGTGTCCTTATAGTAGAACGATTTATAGTCCTTTGGATATATACCCAGTAATGGGATTGTTGAGTCAAATGGAATTTCTATTTCTACGTCCTTGAGGAATCGCCACACTGTCTTCCACAATGGTTGAACTAATTTACACTTCCACCAGCAATGTAAAAGTGTTCCTATTTCTCCACATCCTCTCCAGCATCTGTTGTCTCCAGATTTTTTAATGATCGCCATTCTAACTGCTGTGAGATGCTATCTCAATGTAGTTTTGATTTGCATTTCTCTAATGACCAGTGATGATGATCATTTTTTCATATGTTTGTTGGCCTCATGTATGTCTTCTTTTGTAAAATGTCTGTTCATATCCTTTGCCCACTTTCAAATGGGCTTCTTTGTGTTTTTCTTGTAAATCTGGTTTAGTTCTTTGTAAATTCTGGATATCAGCCCTTTATCAGATGGGTAGACTGCAAAAATTTTTTCCCATTCTGTTGGTTGCCAATTCACTCTAATGACTGTTTCTTTTGCCGTGCAGAAGCTGTGGAGTTTGATTAGGTCCCATTTGTCTATTTTGGCTTTTGTTGCCAATGCTTTTGGTGTTTTGGTCATGAAGTCCTTGCCTACTCCTATGTCCTGAATGGTTTTGCCTAGATTTTCTTCTAGGGTTTTTATGGTGTTAGGTCTTATGTTTAAGTCTTTAATCCATCTGGAGTTAATTTTAGTGTAAGGTGTCAGGAAGGGGTCCAGTTTCTGCTTTCTGCACATAGCTAGCCAGTTTTCCCAACACCATTTATTAAACAGGGAATCCTTTCCCCATTGCTTTTTTTTGTCAGGTTTGTCAAACATTGGATGGTTGTAGATATGTTGTGTTGCCTCCGAGGTCTCTGTTCTGTTCCATTGGTCTATATCTCTGTTTTGGTACCAGTACCATGCTGTTTTGATTACTGTAGCCTTGTAGTATAGTTTGAAGTCACTAAGTCCAGTAGTGTGATGCCTCCTGCTGTGTTCTTTTTGCTTAGAATTGACTTGGCTATGTGGGCTTTCTTTCAGTTTCATATACAGTTTAAGGTGGTTTTTTCCAGTTCTGTGAAGAAGGTCATTGGTAGCTTGATGGGGATAGCATTGAATCTATAAATTACATTTTCACAATATTGATTCTTTCTAACCATGAACATGGAATGTTTCTCCATCTGTTTGTGTCCTCTCTTATTTCGTTGAGCACTGGCTTGTAGTTCTCCTTGAAGAGGTCCTTTACGTTCCTTGTTAGTTGTATTCCTAGGTATTTTATTCTCTTTGTAGCAATTGTGAATGGCAGTTCGTTCCTGATTTGGCTCTCTTTAAGTCTGTTATTGGTGTATAGGAATGCTTGTGATTTTTGCACATTGATTTTGTATCCTGAGATTTTGCTGAAGTTGCTTATCAGTTTCAGGAGATTTTGGGCTGAGACAATGGGATCTTCTAGATTTACAATCATGTCATCTGCAAATAGAGATAATTTGGCTTCCTCCTTTCCTATTTGAATACCCTTTATTTCTTTTTCTTGCCTGATTGCTCTGGCTAGAACTTCCAGTACTATATTGAACAAGAGTGGTGAGAGAGGGCATCCTTGTCTAGTGCCAGATTTCAAAGGGAATGCTTCCAGTTTTTGCCCATTTAATGTAATATTGGCTGTTGGTTTGTCGTAAATAGCTTTTATTATTTTGAGATACGTTCCATCAATACCGAGTTTATTGAGGGTTTTTAGCATAAAGTGCTGTTGAATTTTGTCAAAGGCCTTCTCTGCATCAATTGAGATAATCATGTGGTTTTTGTCTTTGGTTCTGTTCATGTGGTGAATTACGTTGATAGACTTGCATATGTTGAACCAGCCTTGCATCCCCGGGATGAATCCTACTTGATCACAGTGGATAAGCTTTTTGAAGTGCTGTTGCAATCAGCTTGCCAGTATTTTACTGAAGATTTTTGCATCTATGTTCATCATGGATATTGGCCTGAAGTTTTCTTTTCTTGTTGAGTCTCTGCCGTGTTTTGGTATCAGGATGATGTTGGTCTCATAAAATGATGTGGGAAGGATTCCCTCTTTTTGGATTATTTGGAATAGTTTCAGAAGGAATGGTACCAGCTCCTCTTTGTGTGTCTGGTAGAATTCGGCTGTAAACCCATCTGGACCTGGGCTTTTTTTGCGTGATAGGCTCTTAATTGCTGCCTCAACTTCACATCTTGTTATTGGTCTGTTCAGGGGTTTGGATTCTTCCTGGTTTAGGCTTGGGAGGAGGCAAGTGTCAAGGAATTTATCCATTTCTTCCAGGTTTACTAGTATATGTGCATAGAGTTGTTTGTAATAATCTCTAATGATGGTTTGAATTTCTGTGGAATCTGTGGTGATATCCCCTTTATTGTTTTTTATTGCATCTATTTGGTTATTCTCTCTTTTCTTTTTTATTAATTTGGCTAGTGGTCTGTCTATTTTGTTGATCTTTTAAAAAAAACCAGCTCCTGGATTTATTGATTTTTTGAAGGGTTTTTTGTGTCTCTATCTCCTTCAGTTCTGCTCTGATCTTAGTTATTTCTTGTCTTCTGCTAGTTTTTGAGTTTTTTTTTATCTTGTTCCTCGGGCTCTTTCAATTTTGATGATATGGTGTTAATTTTGGATCTCTCCTTGCTTCTCACGTGGGCACTTATTGCTATATATTTTCCTCTAGAGACTGCTTTAAATGTGTCCCAGAGATTCTGGTGTGTTGTCTTCGTTCTCATTGGTTTCGAAGAACATCTTTATTTCTGCCTACATTTCATTGTTTATCCAGTCAACATTCAAGAGCCAGTTGTTCAGTTTCCATGAAGCTGTGCAGTTCTGGGTTAGTTTCTGAATTCTGTCTTCTAACTTGATTGCACTATGGTCTGAGAGACTGTTTTTTATTATTTCCATTCCGCATTTGCTGAAGAGTGATTTACTTCCAATTATGTGGTCAATTTTAGAGTAGGTGTGATGTGGTGCTGAGAAGAATGTATATTCTGTGGATTTGGGATGGAGAGTTCCATAAATGTCTATTAGGTTTGCTTGTTCCAGGTCTGAGTTCAAGTCCTGGATATCCTCGTTAATTTTCTGTCTGGTTGATCTGTCTAATATTGACAGTGGAGTGTTAAAGTCTCCCACTATTATTGTGTGGGAGTCTAAGTCTCTTTGTAAGTCATTAAGAACTTGCCTTATGTATCTGGGTGCTCCTGTATTAGGTGCATATCTATTTAGGATCGTTAGCTCTTCTTGTTGTATCGATCCTTTTACCATTATGTAATGTCCTTCTTTGTCTCCTTTGATATTTGTTGCTTTAAAGTCTACTTTATCAGAGACAAGAATTGCAACTCCTGCTTTTTTTTGCTCTCCATTTGGTTGGTAAATCTTCCTCCATCCCTTTATTTTGAGCCTTTGTGTATCCTTGCATGTGAGATGGGATTCCTGGATACATACAGCACACCGATGGGTTTTGGCTTTTTATTCAATTTGTCAGTCTGTGTGTTTTGATTGGTGCATTTAGTCCATTTACATTTAGGGTTAATATTGTTATGTGTGAATTTGATACTGCCATTTTGATGCTAGCTGGCTGTTTTGCCCGTTAGTTGTTGTAGATTCTTCATTATGTTGATGCTCTTTAGCATTTAGTGTGATTTTGGAATGGCTGGTACTGGTTGTTCCTTTCTATGTGTAGTGCCTCTTTCAGGAGCTCTTGTAACGCAGGCCTGGTGGTGGCAAAATCTCCGAGTACTTGCTTGTTCACAAAGGATTTTATTTTTCCTTCACTTATGAAGCTTAGTTTGGCTGGACATGAAATTCTGGGTTGAAAGTTCTTTTCTTTAAGGATGTTGAATATCAGCCCCCACTCTCTTCTGGCTTATAGTGTTTCTGCTGAGAGATCTGCTGTAAGTCTGATGGGCTTCCCTTTATGGGTGACCCGACCTTTCTCTCTGGCTGCCCTTAGCATTTTCTCCTTCATTTCAACCCTGGTGAATCTGATGATTATGTGCCTTGGGGTTGCTCTTTTTGAGGAATATCTTTGTGGTGTTCTCTATTTCCTGGACTTGAATATTGGCCTGCCTTGCTAGGTTGGGGGAGTTTTCCTGGATAATATCCTGAAGAGTATTTTCCAGCTTGGA